TGCTCGAGTCATGTAACGCTAACAATCCTATGAGGAAGAACTATGATCCCTTACTTACAATCTGAGGAAACTGAGTCACGGGAGGTTCATTAGCTTGCCCAAGGCCGTATTTAGAAAGTGGCAGAACTGGGTTTCGAAGACGATCTCTACAGCTCATACTCTCAAGGCTACACTGCCTCCTCAGCATGCTCTTTTATGTAGTAGGAATTAATGGTGCCTCACTGGACTTGAATTATTTTTTCTTGCCTGATGTTATTCCACTTGTGATTAAAATTCCCAGAAGAGTCTGATTGGCCTGGCTTGGGTCTCAGATTCCGCCTCTCCCCCTTGATTGACAGCTTCATCAAGACTGCAGTGGAGTAGGGTAGTTCTCCCAAAGGAGTGTCTGGCTGCTGTTTCCCAAGGGCAGGGAAAGGGATGCTAGTCAGACCAAAACAACAGATGTCCACTGCAAGTACCAAAACTGACCCAGATCTAATCATTGCTTTGGTGTTGTCATCACCAACCTTTTTTTGGGAGACAGATCCAGGGGGCCGATCTTTGGGGCCAGGGCAGACATGGCACCGACTTCCCCACCAGTGCACCTCAGGTATCCCCTTTAGTCTAGTTGGGGCCGAAATGCGGCGGCATGGTGGTGGGGGCTGCTGTCAGGTGAACCTGGGTTCATTCTGGAGGCACAAGAGGTGGCACGAGAGGTGGCACAAGAGGTGGCTAAGTATTGTGCTGTGGGAAAAAAACAGACCATTGAAAAATGCCCAGATGTTACATGGAAACGTGCCTTTGCTCTGTCATATGGCTTCCAGCTTTTGGCTTGGAGGAGGCTTAGGTGCAACTTTCTTCGGTCCTCCAGAATGAACCCAGGTTCACCTGACAGCAGCCCCCCACCACCATGCCGCCGCATTTCAGCCCCAACGAGACTAAAGGGGATACCTGAGGCGCACCGGTGGGGAAGTCGGTGCCATGTCTGCCCTGGCCCCCAAGATCGGCCCCCTGGATCTGTCTCCCAAAAAGGTTGGTGATGACATCACCAAAGCAAGTGGAGATTGGAAGAGTGTGAGGATTACAGTGAAACTGACCATTCAGAATGGCCAGGCCCAGATTGAGGGAGTGCCTTCTGCCTCGGCCCTGCCCACCGAAGCCCTCAGAGGACTGCACGAGGCAGAAAGAAGCAAAAAAACATTAGGCACAGTGGAAATGGCACTTTGATGAGATAGTCAGCATTGCCCCACAAGCACGCTGCTGCTTTTACTAAGATCTTCCCATCATTCCCTGAGATTTCCCCATTGATTGCTTTCCACGCTATCCTCTGCTTTCCGTGGAATGTTGATTATGTGACTAAGAGTTGGATACAAAAACATGTCCCCAAATATCATATTTCCCCAAACTCTGCCTGTTTCCCAGTTCAAACTTCATGTTTTTACTTTTCCCTACAATATAAGGAATCTCCCAGCTGTAAATTCATAAGACCTCAGTGGTGGAGCGTGGCTCACCATCTGGTCATTCCCTGAACTGACTAAAGTCGGAAGGTCTCATGTCATTTTTTAAAAATATATTCTTATTGATTTCAGAGAGGACGGGAGAGGGAGAGAGAGATAGAAACATCAATGATGAGAGAGAATCATTGATCGGCTACCTCCTGCACGCCCCCTACTGGGGATTGAGCCCACAACCCAGGCATGTGGCCTGACCAGGAACCAAACTGTGACCTCCTGGTTCATAGGTCGACGCTCAACCACTGAGCCACGCCGGCCAGGCAGGTCCCATGCCATTTTATGAAACTACCTTTCCTAGTGATCAGACCAAAGGACCCAGTGTCGCAAGGGGAAGAGGACTGATTCCAGGCGAGGCCAGCCTCCTGCAGCAGTCAGCAAAGCAGCAGAGCAGTTTATCACTAGCCAGAAGCACGCTCGTGCTCTATCTGCCTGTGTAGATACAGTCGTCTCCAGGAAGGAGGCAGAAATATAGGAACCCCTGGGCATTCTTTCTTCTGTTACAATAGGAAGAAAGGAGTTCAGGATGGTTGGGTCTCGCCTGATATGCCTGGTAATTAATGAGTGGAGGTCAGTGCTGTTTACCACATTAGCTGAGAGAGAAGATGTGCAGGGGAATAAAAGGAGGCAAATATTGTTCCTGACAATGGTGACCAATCGGCTTCCTGAGAGTCAAAGCTCTCTGGACATTCAGGGAGCATTTCTAAAGCTTTTGCTAAGTTGCTAAACAATCACCTCCCCCCGACAAACAATTTTCATCAACCGAGAGAACAGTAGGGCCTGGCATCAAGGCGTGAAATGATAAATGAGCATCGGGACGAGCCATGCTGATATAAACTATAACCAGGGTAGCGGCCATTCATTAGGAGGCTCCAAAGCGGGATCCCGCCTTAATGGGGTTCTGCACTCAGAGCTGTGCCCAGCCTTGCCATGGCGACAATAGAAACCCCCCCTGAAGGGTGGTGCTGAGTTTCTTGGCTGTGTGACCTTGAGCCTGAGCACTGCCCTTCTCCACAGTGGATATTAAAAGGAAACAAGAAAATAGATTTCCTCTTTTTCATATCAGGAACTCAAAAACAATTTTTAAGTAAAATACACTGATGTAATGCCAAAAGTAAGAAGATATTTGGGGAAAACCCATCTCTCTACCAAACCACGCTCCCAAAGCGACCTCATCAAACCCTCCTCCCCTTTTATTTTTGCAACGTTAGTCATTGTGTGTATGTGATCCCTTCATCTGTTCTTTTCAGGGATCACTATGGCAGGCGTTTTCCCCGTTTCAATCATAATTTTTAACGAAAGCTTACGTCCTCATATCGCTGGCCCTGATTTAGTAAATCATTTCCCTACTGCCCATCGGGCTGGAAGAGTCTGTCAGCACAAGGCCACAGAGGCTCCTGTTTGCTCCTAAGATTGGAGCCGGGAACTCTATTTGGAGCACATTTGCTCAAAAGATCTACGTGACTCACCCAGCTGCAAGCGCGAGGCCAACTCAGGTGGAATGAGCTCCCACTGCAGAGGGTGCGGGGGTTTGTGGAAAATTCCAGAAGCTGGAGCTCCATTGTAGAATGGAGGATTAGAGGAGTGAGGTGCAAAAACAAACAAAACCTCTCCATGAAAAATGTGACCCATAAGTAGCTATGTTGAATACTGCTTGTCTTTCACCTTTTGGTGACTCGCATTTAAACCTTTAACACAACAAAAAAATTTTTCTTTTAAAATAACACGTTTTGCTCATTCTTTTTACAATGATAAAAGGAATACATGCATGTGGTTTTTTTAAATAAATCCAAACACAGAGCAGATTCTCTCAGTTCCCAGGCCTCTATCCTTCACTAAGAAGCAAGCGTTGCCAATCGTTTCTTCTGCGTCCTTCCAGAGTTTTCCTTTGCATCTACATGCATGTTTACATGTGTGTTCCCCTTTTCGTTGTTAGCACAAGCGAGGCACACACTATACTGCACTTGCTGTTTTTACTGGACCTCAGACCTCAGACCTTGGCATAAACAATCTACTTCATTATTTTTTTAAAGAGCTGAATAGTTTCCCACTATATGAAAGTGCTGTAATTTATTTAACCATTTCCCTATTGAGAGACATTTTCCAGTTTCTATATTTTTTGTTTTTTATACCACAAATAATGTAACCATAACCTTTTCTGGTGGATTCAGGGAAACCAGAAGTTTTAGATTTCCTGAGACATCTTGATTCAATATAATTAATTATTTTCAATAAAATAATTTGTATAGATTTCAGAAAGGCATTTTACAAAACATACCATTTCATATTTTTTTTTAATTCTCAGCAAAAAAAGTTTTTTAATTTTCAACCTCAACAAGGAAATAATAGAAGCTTTCTCATTAGAGTCCGGAAAAAGACAAAGACGCGCCCTCCCTGCTATTTAGCATTGCTCTAGAATTACATGCAAAAAATCAAAAATAAACAGAGGTATTAAAATTAGAAGAAGGTCAAATTATCCTTATATGCAATGATGCATCGTGTAACTGGAAAAGCACACAGACAGAAAATCAACAGAAGCGCTGTTAGAAACAATAAGAGCATCCGGTAAGATGACTCTCCTATATTCTTGGTGACTGGCAAACTGGTGCAACTCTTTGGGGGCGTGGGGTACAATTTGGACCATCTATCAAAACTATGTGTGCACATGCCCACTGAGCCTGTAACTTCTACTTTCAGAAGGTATCTTTCAAATATACCAACCATGGGCTCAGAGACTCATGGCCAAGATATGTATATAGGGTGGGGCAAAAGTAGGTTTACAATTGTTTGTATGGAAAATAATACAGCAGTTACTAAATAATAATACAAGAATAAATTCTGTGTTTCACATACTCACAACTGTACACCCACTATTGCTCCACCCTATATGTGTGTATAGATACAAACATGTCCATTAAAGCGTGTCCTATAATAGCAAAAAGGCTGGAAACAACTTGTTTTTTAAAAGGCTGCCTAGCCCTGGCCGGTGTGGCTCAGTGGGTCCCATGCACCAAAAGGTTGCCGGTTTGATTCCCAGTCAGAGCACGTGCTGGGGTTGTGGACTCAATCCCTGGTAGGGGGCATGCAGGAGGCGGCTGATCAATGTTTTGCTTTCATATCGATGTTTCTCTTTCCCTTTCCCTTCCTCTCTCTCTAAAAATCAATAAAAATCTTTAAACAAATAGATAATAAATGAAAGGCTGCCTATGCTGCTGCATGAGGTGGTATTATACCACATCAGCATAAAATGTTTTTCAAAGAATGGTCAAGAAATTTGTCTTAGTATGTGCCCCTGAGGAACAAGATCTGGACAGGAAGAGAGGAGCTTATTTGTCATCATATGCCTTTTGTACAGTTAAAATTTGCCATGTGCCCCCAATGCATGCCTTGAAATGTGGTTTACTTTTTTGTACCACACGCAAGGCTTTTCTAATAGATCAATTTAACTTCATGAAATTCTTGATCAAACCAGGAGACTGATATTTAGTTCAAATAGATGGATGGCCTTTGTTCAGTAAAGAAAAGCCTATTTATTTATGGACATGACGGGGAGGGAAACAACACCTTAGTGTTTTGGGTGTGTTGTTGTCAATGTTGTGGTTACACTTGTTGTGTTTCAGTCTTGATAGCTCTGAAATGGTATGACTGTGTCTTTACTCATCGACTGACTTTATAGGTCCGTACTCTTCAAGGCCTGTGGCCAATCCATGTCATCGAACAGGGTGAAGCCTGCTGGCACGTAACCCAGAGCGACCTAGTTTTCCTGAGTGTCTTCAGGGACCCAGTCAAATGGATGACACGGACCCAAAGAGCTTGGGCCAGGCCAGGCCAGCAGGAGGGAGAGAGGGAACCTCACCAGGTGGCCGTTCTGCTTGCTGTAGCTGGCTCCTCCCTTCACAGTGACTACCATCAGTGACAACACAGTTCCGCTCCCAGCCTCCTTCACCTCAGGTGTCCTCACCTGAAGCCCACCTCTAATCTATGGAGAGATGCTTGGGTCATTCTAGCGGGTGGGAGGATGCAAAGAAATAAGGACAGGTGGTGTAAGCAACAGAAAATTCTACGTTTAATAACAATAGCATTTTACCTTAAAATTACCCAAGACTAAACTACATTGATCAGCTCCCAAATCCTAGTCCAAGAAGGCCTAGGGTTCTGCTGCACTGGGGTCTGGGATGGGAATTGGAAATCAACATTTTTAAGACACTCCCCGGGTAATTCTGATGGGCAGCCAGGCTTGGCAAACACAGGTATAAATTATTCAGTTACACCCAAATTATTGTGAACTATATAACAGTCTAATAAATTTGGATGTGGCCCTTTGAGAGGAAAAAAAGTCCTCAGGAAAAATTGTTATCATAAAGGAATTAAATTAATCCTCAAGAGTGAGTAAATGAATCCCAGTAAACACATCATAGTCACCGCATTCAGTAAAATTGTCTAATCAATAATGAAATAAGCAGAGATAGGACACTTTAAAGCCTGCAGGAGATATTATAATTCAAACACTAGCCTAGATCTGATAAATATTTTACAGACAATCAATTTTATTTCATTCTACTTGAGAAATGAGTAAGGGCCCACGTTCCTATTTAGCAACATCAGGTTTTTTAATGGAATTGGGAGGAAACAGGGTTAGTGACTATGTGACCTTCTCTTTCAAGGTAAGTATTATCAACCTCACAGCTAAAAGCCACCAGGCCACTTTCTCTCCTCAAGGCAGGCCAGGTCACGTGGTCATGGGCTCTGGCTCTGAACTGCAGTTGCGAGCCATCTGTGCAGAGCAATGGCCCTGGGAAACGTCCCTGCTCCCAGAAAAGGCCAAGTCTGAGGATGTCTGGTGCTGGCAGGACCCAGTCCTGGTCCTTCCTCCTCAATCCCTCCTGCAGAGGGCCTTGCAAAACCTCAGGCTCTTTTCCTTCATCAACCTAAGGACCACAATAAATGTTTAACAAGCTCCTGGGGGGGTTCTGATATCGACTAACATTTGAGAACTTGAATGGTAGTTGTTCCAGAAAACCCCCAATCACCTAACTTGCCCTTCTTGCAAACATAATGCCACATCTACTGTAAATGAACAACAGTATTGCCATCATCTTGTAAAAATATATCACTTATGTCTTAGAAAAACGTTTAATTACTTAACTGTCTTTTCTCTGAACACTTTTTATTTTTGAGCTCCGGATCGCCAAACTGAAGTCAGTCCTAAACTCTTCTTGACCAGCACTAACATCAAAAGGCCTTCACTGTGATCCAGCTCATCTGAACCATTTTCACATTCATTATCCATCTGTCATTGCCAAGGAACTATCAGTGGCATTGAGGATAACTTTCCACACTGACCAAAGATCAGGGTTCATTGAACCACAAGGCATGTTTGGGGACCACAGGCATCATTCAGCCTCCTTCTCCTGCCTGTCCCCTGGGAAAGGTGGGCAGGAGAAACCCTCCAAAGCCTCTGTGAAGCAAGGGGTGCCCAGGTCCTTGCCCCTGACCATGTGGAAAACTTCCACATCGCCATGCCTTTTCCTTTAAAGTTCAGAATGCCTGGGATGACCTTCCCTGCCTGCCACACCCCCAAACTCCTATTCATCCTTCAAGTTCCAGCTCAGAAGTAGTGAGACGAAAAATAATCATAAAGCAGGGTTCCCTCTTCTGTTCTGTCCTAGCATGCCATAATTTTCCTTTATAGCACTCATCAAAGTCTCTAATGACATATTTATGTGATTATTTTATCACAGAAAGCTACATGAGGGTAGAGACCATCTGCTTTGCTCACACTTGTATTTATAGCCTATTACCATGTCCGGCACATAGTAAATACTCAATACTATGAAGTGAAAAAATTAATAGGTTTACATTTTTTTAATATACTAGAGGCCCAGTGCACGAATTCGTGCACAGTTGGGTCCAGCCGGCCCGCCCTGATCAGGGTGGGGGGGTGATCGGAGGTGGGGCCACGGGCAGTTGGCCAGCTGGCCCCGCTCCCTGGTCAAACTCCTGGTCGAACTCTGGGTCGAGGGGACAATTTGCATATTAGCCTTTTATTATATAGGATATTTTTATTTATTTCAGAGAGGAAGGGAGGGGGAGTGAAAGAAAGAAACATCAATGATGAGAATCATTGATCAGCTGCCTCCTGCATGCCTCACATTGAGGATCAAGTCTGCAACCTGGGCATGTGCCCTGACCGGGAATTGAACCGTGATCTCCTGGGTCATAAGTCAACACTCAACCACTGAGCCACACCTGTTGGGCGGTTTACACTTATTGAATACTTCCATTGTGTTCCCTCAGACTGGGCTGACTGTTCCTGATACATGGTCAGTTTTTAATCTTTCCAACAACTCCCTGAGGTAGGTATTATTATTATTACCTCTAATGAATAAGATAAGAAACTTGAGGCTTATGAGGTTTCAAGAATTTGTCACGGTCACACAGCTAAATGTGGTTGAAATATGAGTTTATCAACCTCTACAGCTTAGCTCTCAATCACAATACTATACACTTCCTATTTGAAACAGACAACCTCCTTGACTGTGACCTCCTTGAACACCTTCAGATTAGAATTAGTTGTTTCCTTCATTGTTTCTTCTTATTTTCCGACGTCAACTATTCCCCTATTACCACACATCACATTGCATCATCAGGACTTAAATATGTATCTGTGAGCACCATGAGTGCATGGACCATACTTAACCCAACCAACAGGCCAAGTCTAACCACCTAGTCCATACCCAGGTGCAATTACCACACTGGACAATAAGTGCCCAATTAACCCCACACCAGACTCTCTCAATACATCATTGTCACTTCATAAAGAAAACAGATGCCGTTAACATGGGTGGACTAATTAACCAAGTGAACAAATAGAGAGCTCAGAGGCAGACCAACCACTGGTAGAAACTTGACATATGAGATTGGTGGCAGTGAGAAAAAATTGGAGCCAGCATACACAGTTATTCATGTAAAAAGGAAGGAAATTAGACCCATGTCATCCACCATACAAAAAATTAATTCTTAATAGATTAAAGATCTCCATGTAAAAAACAGAACTTTCAAACATATAAAATGATAAGCAATTGCAATGCTAATCAGGGAAATAAAAATTAAGATTATGATAAGATAATCGTTTTTAAACCACTAAATTAGAAACAATTAAGAAACCTGATTATACTGTTGTCAAATATATGGATCACTAGGAACTCTGGTAGGTATATATCTTACAAACCATTTTACAGAAAAGGCAATATCTAATAAGTTATGTTATAGTTATATAGTTATATAGTTATATAGTACTAGAGGCCCGGTGCACAAAAATTTGTGCACTGGCAGGGGGGGGTTGTCCCTCAGCCCCACTTGTGCCCTCTCACAGTCTGGGACCCCTCGGGAGATAATGACCTGCTGCTTAGGCCCGCTCCCGGGTGGCAGAGAGCAGGCCCAATCCCTAGGTGCAGCCCCTGATCGGGCTCAGAGCAGGGCCGATTGGGGAGTTGGGGCGCCACCCCCTGTCATGCACAGAGCAGGGCGGATCGGGAGGTTGCGATGCCACCCCCAGTCACGCTCAGGGTAGGGCCGATTGGGGGGTTGGGGCACCGGCCCCAGTCACACTCAAAGCAGGGTCGATGGGAAGGTTGCAGCGCCACCCCCTGTCATGCACAGAGCAGGGCCGATCAGGGGGTTGGGGAGCTTCCCCCTGTCACGCACAGAGCACGGCCCATCAGGGGGTTGGGGAGCTCCCCCCTATCAGGCACAGAGCAGGGCCGATCAGGGGGTTGGGGCTCCTTCCCCTGTCAGGAACAGAGCAGGGTGGATAGGGAGGTTGTGGCCCCACCCCCTGTCACACACAGAGCCACAGGGCGATCAGGGGGTTTGGGTGCTGCCCCCTGTCACGCTGCTCCAGGGGCCAGGAGGCCTCGCGGCTCCGCTGATCCCAGTGCCAAGAGGCCTCGCGGCTCCGCTGATTCCGGTGCCAGGAGGCCTCGCGGCTCCGCTGATCCTGGGTTCAGGAGGCTTCGCGGCTCTGCTGATCCCGGTGCTGGGAGGCATATTACCCTTTTACTATATAGGATAGAAGCCTGGTGCACGGGTGGGGGCCGGCTGGTTTGCCCTGAAGGGTGTCCCGGATCAGGATGGGGGTCCCGCTTGGGTGCCTGGCCAGCCTGGATGAGGGGATGATCGCTGTTTGCAGCTGGTCACACCCCCTTCAGGGTGGGGGTCCCCACTGGGGTGCCTGGCCAGCCTGGGTGAGGGGCTGAGGGCCGTTTTCAGGCTGGCAGGTGACTGAAGCTCCCAACCTCTCCTTTTTTCTTTTCTTTTTTTATTCTGGGATTTATTTACCTTCTATAGCTGTCACTGGAGCTGAGAGCCAGCTTTAGCTCTGAGGCCAGCTCCAGCTTGAGGCCTCAGCTGCTGAAAGCAGGGATCTGGGTTTGTTTGGGTTCTATAATTGTAACACTGTTTCTGTCCTGCTCGCTCCAGCTCTGACGGCAGGTTTCTGGAGTTTTGTTTAGCTTCTATATTTGCAACAATGTTTCTTAGAGTGCAAGCTCAGAGGCCGGCAAGGCAGGCAGGGAACCTTGGCTTCCTCCGTCACTGGAGCAAGCAAGCCTCCTGTTCACTTCAGCTGCCTGGCTGCCGGCCGCCATCTTGGTTGGCAGTTAATTTGCATATCTCCCTGATTAGCCAATGGGAAGGGTAGCGAAGTTACAGTTAATTACCATGTTTCTCTTTTATTAGATAGGATGTTATATGCAGTTAGAAAAGTGAATGAACAGGTGTAGTCACTGTGGAAAACAGTACAATTCCTCAAAACATGGAATTGCCATATGACCCAGCAATTCCACTTCTGGGTATATACCCAAAAGAAGTGAAATAAAGAACTTGAGCAAATATCTGTACACCCATGTTCATAGCATCCTTATTCACAAGAGCCAAAGGTGGAAGCAATCCAAGCATCCATCAATAGATGAATGGAGAAACAAAATGTTGGAGTATACATGATATACTCAATATTATTCAGCTTTAAAAAGAAAATTCTGCTACATGTTACAACATGGATGAACTTTGAAAACATTAAGCTAAATAAAATAAGCCAGTCACAAAAGGACAAATATTGTAGGATTCCACTTATATGAGGTGACTAGAATAGCCAAATTCATGGAGACAGAAAGTAAGAATAGAAGTTTTCAGGGGCCAAGGGGAAAGGTAACTGGGTAGTTAGTGTCTAATGGGTACAGAGTTTCAGTGGGGGAAGATGAAAAGGGAAGCTGGATGGTGGTGATGGTTATACTACAATATGAATGCACTTAATGCCACAAAACTATACACTTAAAAGTGGTTAAAATGGTAAATTTTATGTTATGTATATTTTGCCACAACTTTTAAAAATGAACGAGCAATTTGTTTCTAGTATTGTTTGTCACCGATTTGTTTTTGTCTCTGTTGTAGACAGTGCTCCCATGAACATTCTTTTCCATGTCTGCTGGTACATACATGCAAGAGATACTGTAGAGTATATACCTAAAAATGGAATTGCTGGGTCAACTATATTATGCCAAATTACTTTTCAAAATGGTTGTACTATTTGATATAAATTATATCATAAAATGATAATTTATAAAAAGATGTTCAGGAAATGTTAAATTATAGCCAAAAGGAAGTACTTGAATTTCTCAACTTACCCAACCATCTAGAAGTATACTGCCCAGAAAACGGGGCTCCATCCCGACAATAGCTGCCACATTTCATTCCTTTGCTGGGCATCCCTTTGCAGAACATTGGCTAACTGATGCCAGCAATGGTGGACCTCCAGGAGGGCGGAAGGTCTGGGAACTCTGAGGGAGGGAAGGCTGAATGAGATGGGGTACTGGTCTGGCAACGTGCTCATGGGCTCTTTGGAGAGTGTAATTCATAAGCACAAATACTGCTCTTTGCTTGGCTAAAGGGTTGTTCTCCTCTCTGGGAAGTCCATTGTCTTTAAGTGAGAACCTCGGAAGGATCCAGACCCACAGAGTGAGCCTGGAAGAGGAAAACAGCAAGCTAGTGAACACAAGCGACCTAACTTCAACTATTAGAAAACCTTTCTTATAGCAATAGATTCATCCTAAGAAGTTCCAGAGAGCAAGCCAAAGTGTTAGAGGTCAAAGGGGAACTTTATAAACTTAGATCTGGGCAAGCACCCATGAGATAGGCTGCCTGTGAGGTCTTGGGCATATTCCACCATCTAGACTGTCAGAGTCCAGGACTGGAGGCTGGGGAAGCTAGAGGAGATGACAAAGGCCCTCCCCCGGTCTCTGCTAATGACTCAAATGCATCCAAGTGGTTGATATCCACCCGCCAGTAACATGCTCAGTCAACATCTGAATTGGGTTTTCTGTCTCATTAGTCTATAACCCATTCTCATCTTACCACAACCCATATTACCCCTTTTAACAAAAGTGCGGTCCCTAGAGAATTAAAACTGCTGCCAAGGCTTAGGTTTGACTATTCATGAAGTAAGCCATGCAGTCCACTAGTAAAAAGCTACTTCAAGCAGATGCTTACATCGCCCCCCCCCACCCCCCATATTCCAGACAGGTCATACTTGGCGGCCATCTTTTCAAGATTCCCTCCCACAAGTACTATAAAGCGCTTCCATATTCTGCAAACAAAAATTCTTCCATTACGTTTTTAAAAAGATTTGTTATTGAATTCATTGGGAGTGACATTGGTTAATAAAATTATATAGGTTTCAGGTGTACAATCCTAGAATACATCATCTGTATCTTGCACTGTGTGTTCACCACCCCAAGTCAAGTCTCCTCCATCACCCTCTACCCCCCCCCTTTACCCTCTAGTGAAAGCCCACGGGTACTGAACTTAAAGATTTATATAAGCAGCCGTGGGCAGATCTTTTGCGATACTGTCCTACACAGTCATGAAGAAGGCACCACAAATAAATCGGCTAAGTAGATGTCACTTTAAAACCACTGGATGTAGACTAAAGGCTGCTGAAATCAATACGGATGGACCCAAAACCCCATTGATACACTTTTAAAATCTACAACTGGCAATGTTTTAAATGTCAGGGCCACGGTATGTTATTTGGCAAGCTACTCCAGGGACGTCCGACGTCAGTCCACGTCCTGCCTGATGGTAGGAGAAAGGCCTCAAAAGTCCTCCCCCGCTGAGGGCACAGCCCCTGGGCGCTCTGCCCCATCTGGGTGGTGTCACTGTGAAATGGCCTGCTTCTGCTGCTGGCCCTGCGTCATGTCTAATCTTGGCTCAGCACTTCAGTGGGTGCTGAGTCAGAACAGGTGCCGGAATTAGGTAACCACTTTGTACCCACATTTGAATATTTCAGCTCCTGAGCAAGTTGGCTCAGGTGTGCTTCCTCCTTTCATCTGCCATTAATCTTCCAGCCCGGATCGGCTGACAGCCTGGCATCACCTGAACGGGTTGCTTCATCGCTGTCATTTGATGAGTTGCGGACAGCGTGTTTGAAGCTGTCCTTTCATTGTCATGAGGCAACTTCTTTCTGTTGTGGAATCACTTCTCCCCTCAGAAGACATGGTTTGGGACCCTACCCTGAACCCCTGTCTGCAGACGGTCATCAAAGGGAGGCGTCGTGTGTGGCCGCGGAAGCATCTCACCGCCTTTCTCCTCGCCCAGAGTGTGAGGCACCGAGGAGCAGAGCAGGCTGGGATGACTGCTCCTTTCCTGAGAAGAGCGAGATCGGATAAAGGCCCACCTGAGCGGCGGTGGCATCTGCTGTAAGTAAACTCGGGAGAAATAACACAGCTGGATGGGGTGCGTTGGGGCCACAAGAATGATGCGGACTCAGATGCTACAGATGGTTCAAGGTTCCCAAATGAACATGCTTTTATTTTTATTTATTTATTTTAAAATATATTTTTATTTATTTCAGAGAGGGAGGGAGAGAGATAGAAACATCAATGATGAGAATCATTGATCGGCTGCCTCCTGCATGCCCTACACTGGAGATTGAGCCCGCAACCCGGGCATGTGCCCTGACCGGGAATCCAACCGAGACCTCCTGGTTCATAGTTCAACACCAAGCCACTGAGCCACACCGGTTGGGCTATTTTTATTTTTTCAAATGAGTATGTTTTCAGGAAGAGCTGGACCCACACAGATGGATTAGACACTGAGTGGCAAACATCCCACAGAGCAACACTCCCCAGGAAGGGAGCTGGGCCCTGAAAGCTGCCAAATGAATTTAAAAGAATTTCACTCCCACCCAAGATGACCTGGTGAATGCCTCTTCGGGTTGCTGTTCAAAGTGATCTGGGTTTCCTCCACAGGAAACCAGGTAGCTAAGACCCTTCTTTGGAATTCAGTTTAGGCAACTGACCATACATATGTCAGAAGCGGAGCTTTGTGTGTTGAACCTCAAACTGCAACAGAACTGAGTTTCCATATGTAATAGAAGGTTGTTTAGGACTAAAGGGTCCCAGGTTCGATTCGGACGAGGGCATGTACCTGGTTGCAGGCACATCCCCAGTAGGGAGTGTGCAGGAGGCAGCTGATAGATGTTTCTCTCTCATCGATGTTTCTAACTCTCTATCCCTCTCCCTTCCTCTATGTAAAAAATCAATAAAATATATTTTATTAAAAAAAGAAGGGTGTTTATTTGCTTAAGAAACAGCATAGTATAATGAAACTGAAATAATGAAACTATATAAGGGGAACTGCATCTCGTTTTATCAGCTGCTCACTTCCTAAAACGCTGAGCAACAAAATAACTTGTTAATAATCTAATATTTAAATAAATTAAGTGATTCTGCTGATTAAAAGATTCCCTAGCCAGTTTGGCACAGTGGATAGAGCATCGGCCTGCAGACTGAAGGGTCCTGGGTTCGATTCCCATCAAGGGCACATGCCCAGGTTGCTGGCTCGATCCCTAGTAGGGGGCGTGCAGAAGGCAGCCAATCAATGATTCTCTCTCATCATTGATGTTTCTCTCTCTCCCTCTCTGTCTCCTCCTCTCTGAAATCAATAAAAAAATATCTTTTTTAAAAAAGATTCCTATGAGAAACACTCTGAATAAGTAAACAATCCTTTAGTCTAGCAGTTTCAAAACTGAAACACATTCCTATACTTCCAGTTTTCACATAGCAAAGTATCTCTTTAAATCAGCCAGCTCCTGGCCTGTAAGCCACCCTGCTGAATTTCTGTGTCAGTGATGCCAAGTAATCTCTTGGCTGTGAAAACATTCTCCGGCCGGCTCCCACAGGCAAGGACAGATGGCATTCCAGTGAGGGTCCTCCCCTCCCTCTTTGTTGTAGAAAATATTGACATTTTTGCAGGAAGCAGATCCAGGTTCACTTTCTTCCCAACTCATCTTAGCAATCATGAAGGTTTGGAGGTCTGTGGTTCCACAGAATTGGGAAAATGCACTTGCCACTGAATTTAAAAAGATCTATGTCAAGGAGAGCAATGTTCATATCTAATCAATGCTTGTAAAAGTCACAAAATAGCAAATAATACACTGTGATCACAAAGTACTTTCAAACAGAAGTGAGACAGGATAGGAAGGCAGAGAGGAGATAGCTGAAGAAAAAGGCTCTCTGAAAAATTTTAAAGTATCAGATGAAGTTTTTTTAAAGATCCTTTCTAATCTACAACAGCAAGGCTATATTAGTTTTACTCAGAAAATCAGAGACAATTTACTAAAATTCAAAACTTGGGTATACTGTTTAAAAAAACCAAACACTTAAAGCCCTAGCCAGGTTGGATCAGTGGGTGGAGTGTGGGCTGTGGACTGAGGGTCCCGGGTTCGATTCCAGTCAAGGGCATCTGCCTTGGTTGCGGGCACAACCCCAGTGGGGGGTGTGCAGGAGGCAGCTGATCGATGTTTCTCTCTCATCAATGTTTCTAACTCTCTATCCCTCTCCCTTCCTCTCTGTAAAAAATCAATAAAATGTATTTTTTTTTAAAAAAAAGAGTAGAGGGTATTAATTTTTGCTTCCTTTTCTTTTCTTTTTTTAAAGGTGAATGGAGTACTTTTTTTTATTTTTCTTTTGCTTCCTTTTCCAAAGCTATGCGGTGGTGCTTTTAGGACTGATGGCCTAGAATATATACGCAAAAGGCCTGTCTTCTCAAATCGACCCCAAAGAGCTGACTCCCTGATCCCAAACCCTTTTTGAACTGTGAAATGAGAAAAAAAGGAAACTTTCTTTGGGTTCAGCCACTGAAATCTGGAGGCTGTTTATTTTAGTGGTTAGCCACCCTGATTAGGCGTGTGGGGGAGATTAAACAGAGCCAGGCCCAGAGCAGTTTAGGGTCCAGCACTTTGGATGTGATAGACAAAGGCAGACAATGGTAGTTGCTCTTTACTCCCAACGTGTATATGCTGCGAATTTGCAGACTTCTCATTCCCTGCTGGTCAGCCTCCCTCCAGTGTCCCCTAGACCGCTCTACCTCACTTCCTAAGTCCCCGTCTGCCCTCTGCAATCCCATACACACACACACACACACACACACACACACACACACACAGCAACGGCAAAATCTGGAACCTTGGCCTGAATATTCAGTTCATACTACAGAGATGAGGTGGGAGGCAGCAAAGCGACTTATCTTGTGAGTTCCCTGGCACAGGTCTGGCCTGAGGCTCCCAAACCAGTGGCATGCATTTCAACCTGTGCACATCCTGCTTCCCTACTAAGACTGCAACTTTTGTCTTGAAAGTCTTGTATCCCAATGACTGCCACCAACCAGGTGCTTACTAGTAATATGTGTCCTTGATGGAAATGGGGCAGGCACAGCTCAACAGGAATCAAAACTGTGCAAGGGTCACAAAGGGCCTAACATGAGAGGGTTCCCTAAATACACAGTTGGTTATTGTTGGGTTACAGATCAAGAAGGAGGAGCATCACATGGAGGGACAAAAGCAATACTCCATTTCCCCTGGAACTTTGCAGAGAAGATAGGGTTTTAGCAGATTTTACACGTTCAAAAGCTGTGGGGAGAATGCATTATTGAAAAGGGCATTTTCCTCCTGCCTGAGGAGGAGGAGGAGGAGTCATGAATCAACAAGCAAAACAGTGCAGCGGAGGGGACTGCAGTGGGAAGTGGAGAGACTGTGGGTCTGGATTCTGACTCTGCCATGTACCAAGGGCATGTCCTTGGGCACAGGGTGTCCTGTGCCTGAGCCTCCGTGTCCTCATCTAGACAATATAAAAGAGTGGTGATACCTACTTCATCGAGCTGCTGCAAGGAGTCAATGAGATTATGCCTGGAAAGGGCCCAGCACAGAGCCGGGCTCAAACTTCTATTGTAAATGCTGTGTGTGAGCAGATAGATGGTGAGCATATCACCATACTGTCCAAGACAACGCCAAATTTTCATAAGATCGCAGACTAACTATTCAGTTAATTCATCAGACTGATATGAGAGAGCAAAGTAGGCCATTCATAAATCTGTTTTGCAGAAGCCTTTGGCAAAATGTCTCAACAACTGCAGAGTCATTTAAATTCTAGTGACTGTGCCAATTCTATCTTAACATTATCTTTCTCCGGGATAATATGCCTTTTATATTAACTTATGTCTTAGATTTTTAATAGGCTATTTTGTTCAATCCTGGAATTTCCACCACAAATTTTAATTTCCTGTGGCTAATCTTAGCAGAAACTTTCTAAAAGAAGGGTGCCAAGACTCGGATCTATTTTCTTTCTTGCCGAGTTTGGATAGATAGTTATAAGAAACTGCCAGGGAGGAAAGCAGGTGTGCTCACCTCCCACCAGCTGACTGGTGGCTGTGTTTTAGTAGTAACTATGTTTCATGCCAAGTTACAATCTCACATTTCAAGGGGTAAACCGGATTGCAAATTATTCATTGACTATACCTGAAGTTGCATTTTCAGTGTTCCCTTCCACTTATCTGATGTCCACTTCTTACACAACAGTGTGTTAGTTATCTAGGCTGTGTAACAAATTACCCCAAAATGTAGTGGCTTGAAACAACATCTATTATCTTGGAGTCATTTCTGGGTCAGGAATCCACGTGTCGCTTAGCTACATCCTTAGGTTTGATCGGGGAGCTGGCTAGGGCTTACTGTCATCTCAAAACTCAGCCAGCGAAGGATCTGCTTCTAAGCTCCCTCAAGTGGCTGTTGGCAGGCCCCAGGTTCTCACTGGCTAGTGGCCAAAGACACCAATGCTTGCCACATCAGCTGCTACAAAAGGTTGCTTGCTCACAGCATCACACCCTCTCCAAGAAGGAGAGAACCAGAGATGGAGAGAGGGAACATAAATGCTATAGACTGAATGTTTGTGTCCCCCAAAATTCATGTGTTGAAAACTAACCCCCAAGATGATGGTCTTAGGAGATGAGATAGCAAATCAGGCCTCTGGAAAGTGATTAGGTCATGCAGATAGAGCCCTCAAGAATGGGATGCGGGGCCCATGAAAGCCACTGAAAAAGCTCCCTGGCCCCTTCTGCCATGTGAGGACGCACAGGAAGTCAGCAGTGTGCAACCCAGACGAGGGCTCTCATTAGAACCCAACCGTGCTGGCTCCCTGATCTTGGACTTCCAGATTCCAGAACCGTGAGCAATACATTTCTGCTTTTCATAAGCCACGCCGTTCTATGGTATTTTTGCTGTAGTGGCCCAAACAGACTAAGACAGAAAGCAAAACAGAAGCCACTCGAGTCTTATCGGAACCTAATCTTGGAAATGACATTCCATCACTTTTGCCATATTCTATTTGTTAGAAGCAAGTCATGAGGTTCAGCCCACACCTGAGAAAAGGGGAGTTCTGGAATCATCCCAGACCCGGCCTCCCGCACAGAAACCCCAGGAAGGCAGGCTTCTCAAGCTAATCCCACTGAAGGACCAGCTTGCTTTTTTTTTTTTTTTTTTGGTTATGTTTTCATTTCTAATCTGTTGTAGGTCACAATTTTTGTAAAATAACTAAAAATTAATTTCTAGAAAAATAAAATAAAGACATAAAAAAACAACCCCATTGATCCACCTGTTGGATGTTGCAACAAGGTCAAATTGCTATAAAAATGTCTAAAAAAATCTCCATTCTGCTGCTTACCTCATCTGGACCAGATACAAATGGTTGTGGACTGCCATCAGTCTTGGGCTGTCTTTGGATCAGCGCCGATTAAGGATTTAAAAAACACAGATGACTTTTCAAGGCTTTTACATGATTTGCGCTATTCACTTGGCTATTCCTGGATGGAGGGATTCTAGGGGAGAAAAAAAAAAAACACAAAAAACTAATCTCACTCCACTCTCTGTAGTCCTAAAAATGGGACCTTTTGTTACAATTAAAGTCTAGGGTGTGTGGGATGATGAGTCTCCAATTTAATATTTTACCCTAAAGTCCTCTGTGTGCCTCCTTTTCCTTTTCGCCGTCTGGAAGCTAGAATTAAGCCACACTAACTGAGCGGTCCGACGGATACTATGATCACCAATTCACATTTTACAAGTCGGCCCCCTCACCAACTAATGTCAGAGATGAAGTTTGAATGCCCTTCCCAGTCTGTTCCAATCCCTCCAAACACCTCAGGCCGTGCTCTCCCTCGCCGAAGCGTGCCGCATCTTTCCCTACCCTCCAGGTTTGTTTCTAGGTGTTTCAAACATCTAATCTTAATGAAACCATAAACTTACCGAGCAAAAGTACTCATTTCATACCCTCCCCAGCCTCCAGCACAGCATCAGGCAGTTTAGCGGAGCCTCAGTAGAAACCTGAATTCAGCTGGCATTTACCAGGCCCAGAACCCGAATCCCCTGTCCAGGGAACAAAGGGGTGTGAGCAGGGCTTCTGTCCCAATTCCCCCACATCTGGCCAGCATCTCTCTTCCAGCCTCTTCACCACCCCCATCTCATCCACCAACACTTAAAGCAGAAGCGGACTCTGCTCCCCTGGCTCTTCTGGGGCAAACTTCAATCTCCTGTGCAGTTACCACACTATCCCCCAGAGAGAGGAGAAAGCCAGGTGGAGGGAGGGGCCTTTAAAAACCAGTCGAGCTCAACTCCCTACACAGCTGCCAGCCCTCAGTTGGGCATCCCTTCCTTCCTCCCCAAGGAAGGGAATGAGGTGAATAACACCTGCATTTGCAAGCCCAGTGCAGGCAACTCTGCAGGCACAAAGGTGGGCCAAACGGGTTTTTTTGCCCTCGAGAATTTCCAAAAGCTGAAGCACACCAATCCGCAATTAGAATACAAAGTGGAAGGTGCCTAGTGTTGCAATGTTGGCCTATGGAGAAAGCACCGTGGGAGAGCAGATGGGGAAAGTGATTAATTTCAAATGGTGCAAACTCAGAGGATGTATCTTTGGGTTAAGCCTTGGAGAATGGGTAACACCAATAATGGGTGACACTCGGAGAGAACTTCCTACCTACCAGGTGCTGTGGTTGGTGGTTGGCGTGCATCTCATTTGGGGCTCACAAAAAGCCTGTTGGGAAGGTGCTATTATTAGTCCCATTTTACAGTGAGTAAACTGAGGCACACAAAGAGTGAGCAATGTGTTCAAGGTACAGGTTAGTAAGTGGTGAAGAGGGTATGTGAGCTCATACAGGGTAACTAGGGCTGGTGCTCTGAACCCTCACTTAAGGAGCAAAGGAGAGCACGAGGGAAGGCCTAGCATTGTGAGGAGTCTGTGAGGCTGAAGCAGGCGGGGAAGGGAGCTGCTCTTTAAACGCAATGGCAGCTGTGGAATCTATATGTCAAACTCTGGACTTTATATATAATATTTCCTCTGACCTCACAACCTCTCTCTTTGACAGGTACCATTCTCCCCATTTTACAGATAAGAAAACTGAGGCACAGGGAAGTTAAGTAACTTACTCAAAGCCACACGCCTGGCAAGCATCCGAATCCAGGGATCAGCCTCCTGAACCCACTGCGGGAGCCCAGTGTTCTCGGGTGGGTGGCAGCCTTTTGCATGCTGCCTGTGCCTCGACTTGTCCCCCAGTCTACACATCCTGTCCCTTCCCACCGGACTTCTCCCTGACTCCCGACCCCTCACTCCCACCCCCGCACTCAGCCTCGACCGCCCAGCCTACCCGCACAAGGTTGGGAGCCACTGGGCGCCCACAACTCCTGCTCCCAGAAAGCTTTGCGCTCCCCGGGAATAAAGAGCCTTTGAGCTGGGGAGCCCCGCCCCGCCCTCCGCAGGCCCCGCCCACAGGCCCGGGCCCCCGGCGGCAGCGGGCGTGTCCCCGGAGGCTGCGCCCGCGGCCGGAGGCGGGGCCTGGCCGAGGTGCAGAGCGGCGGGCCGGCGGGGCCGGCGGGGCCGGCGCGCAGGTGGCTCCTCCTCCGTCTCGCCTGAGCTCGGCCCGGTGCGGACCGGCGAGGGATCGCCTTTGTGCGGGCTTCGGGGATCCGCGACGGCCGCTCGCGTCCGGCTCCATTGTTTCGCTTCTGTGCCTCTTCCGGGCAAGCGTTGGCTGCGCGCGGGGCCCGCACGTGTCACACGGCGGCTGGAGCCGGGGACCCGCGGGCGCCGGCTGGGGCGTCCCGGCTGCGCCGGGAGATGAAGTACCTGAAGCCGTGGTGGTCCGACGGCGGAGACCTCCTGCACCTCACTGTCCTGTTGAGCTTGGCGGGGCTCCACCTGGACCTGGACCTGGATCTCTACCTGCTGCTCCCGCCGCTACGGGGATGAGCTGCCGCTTTGGGGCGACCAGACCATTCCCGGCGACTCACTCAGCCCCTTACCGGCCTCAGGAGGGTGGCGGCGCGCGGAACACCTGCACCCCTAAGGATTGTGGCTGGAACCCGCGACGGACTCAGAAGGCAAGCTGCTCGGCTGTTGACATACGCTGGAGGTCACTGTTATCCCTCGTTCCCGATTGTATGCGGAGGTGGGGAGCAGCGTGGTGAGAGGAGACACGCACTGGATGCAGCGGCTGCTCGAAGCCCCCTCTTCCTCGTCCGCCGAAGCATTCGGCCCTGACACTGACCTCTGCGGCCCTGATGCACTGCTGTGTCGCGGGCACCTTCGCTCGTGACCGAGCATGCTGCATGCTACAGGGAGGGAGGAAGGGCACCCGCCGGAACCCACGGGCTCAGGTGCCGGACCGCCAGCGGGACGCGCGAAGCCAGGTACCGGAGAAGCGAAGGACGCGGGCGCCGCCGCGGGGTTGCGCTGCCCGGGAGCCCGCCGAGGGTGTGAGGGACCTGGGGGAGGGGGACACACCGCTGGGCCTTCCCCCCTCCCGCCCCTGGGGTGGTTGCAGGGGTCGCGGGACGACTCGGGCACCCTCTCCTTTTTCGTGGCTCTGAATGAGGCTATTCGTGCCGTCGCCGTGGCTTTCGGGCTTTTGAGAAAGAAGTGGGCGAAGTCACCCGTTTCCGCTGTAGGGGACACCTTACGCTTGGTAGCTCTCTCGGGGGGCTGGGGCCGGGCGTGATGCTGGTAGAATTCTTGCCTTCTGTCTTCCCTGAGTACCTGTGTACCCCGAGTTGTCTTTTGTCCTGGAACCCGTGCCGGACTCAGAGGATCGGAAGGCGGACTTGGCCCCCGGGAGGACGCAGGTTTCTCTTTAGGAACCACGCTCCCGGCCTAACGCGATGGCCCCGCCCGGGTTTTTAACCCCGTTGAGTGCATTTTTGCTGCTTCCCTGGCTGAAGGAGCGGTGGACAGGGTCCAGGCGGAGGCCGGCCGGCAGACCGCCGCGCGTGACCCCCCGCCCCCCGCGCGAACGGTGCGCCTCCCTCTTAGAACGCGTGTACTCGCCGATTAGCATAAACAGGAACCCGACCATCACCTAGTGACTAACGCGTTCCCTTTGGTATGTATATAGGGTCAAACGCTTTGGCTTAACTTTCTTTTGAAACAGAGATCTGTTCATGGAAGTATCTGCGTAGCCCCCCACTCACTGCCCCTTCCAGCCTCGGGACAGCTTAGTGCCGGTTTTCATAAAGCGCCTCATCCACTGTGCCTTCCGAGGGACCTCCTCGTTCTTTCGTGGCCCAAACCTTGGTGTTCACAATTGGTATCGATCAACAAGTGCTCCGTGGACGATGTTTTTGTGGAGTGCAATCTTATGCAAAATGGGGGCCGGGGCTGGACTGGTTTGTTTGCTGCTCTTGGAACTGCCTGGTGTGTAGGCAGTTGTCAGACGAGCTCCTCCACCCTCCTGGAGGGGTCATTGTGCCGGAGTGCTGGGTGATTCACTGTTCCCCAGATCTGAGTCCTTCCTCTTCCCGGGGCTGGAGCGGATGGGAGTTGGTGAGAGTCTTGGTGGGCTGCTGTCTGTTCCCAACAGTGGAAGGTTCTTCCCACCCACTCATCCAATCTGGAACCTACTCTACCCTCCACCTCCTAACCTGAGGTGCGTGACATAACAACCCACAGGGTGAAACCCAGTGCTGGATGCGGTACCAGGTGGCACCCTGCCCCCTCGCGGCTGAGTGCCAACTGGCTGGCAGAGGACACAGGGACCTGGAGGGAGGCGAGACAGTTCTCTCTGCAGGACTCCCTCCCCTTCCTTGCCAGCATCACCTGGTTGATGCCTGTTTCGACAGGCCAGCCTGGGGGAGTGTGTGTGTGTGGTGGGGGGGGGGGGGGGGCGGAGTTCCAGGGGCCTGGGCCCAGCCAGACCTTGGAGTCCTTGAGCCCAGCGTTCCTAGGGAAGAGGGTGAAGTTCACAGGAAGCCATTCTGGTGGGGCCTCCCCCGTGGCAGGTGTGGACCTGCTGAACTGGCAGGTGTGAGGATGACCTGGTTGTATTAACTTCAGCGATGGTCAGCTGTGGAGCCTCTTAGTGTTCACAGGCAGTTCACCTGTACCGGCCATGCCTTCTTCACATCAGCCTTGTGAGGTACACGGGCCAGGCAGCATTGAGAGTCCCCAATGCCAGACTCTCAGGTTAGCATTATAATTAATCAAGCACTATTTGTCCTCGGCAGACCGAGGGTTGTATTCAGTTTGTACTTAAGAAAAATGGAGGCCCAGTGAGATGAGGGGACTTGGTTAAAGCCACACAGTTTTAGTACGAGAAGTGGGACTAGAACCTGAGCTTCCTGACTCTGCACTCCGGTTCTCTGGACGAGCGTGCAGCCGAGTGGGTGCTGCCCCTCACGCCTGTCCCCAGGCCCACTGCTCTTCAATGCTGATTGACTTTAAAGAGCAGGTCACACCATCCATAATGCCCGGGCTATCATTTGGAGCCATGACTCTGGGAGGAATTGGGCTGGGAAAATGACAACGGCTTTGCACTACGCAAACCTGGGTCTAGGGCAGTGGTCGGCAAACTGCGGCTCGCGAGCCACATGTGGCTCTTTGGCCCCTTGAGTGTGGCTCTTCCACAAAATACCACGTGCGGGTGCGCACGTACAGTGCAATTGAAACTTCGTGGCCCATGCGCAGAAGTCAGTTTTCGGAAAGGAGATAGAGACAAGTATACAAGACGAGTGTGGATGGGAGAGTTGGAAGGGGTTGACCTCAGCGAACGTACCTCAGTCAGATTGAGGACATTTTTAGCAAAGGCCAGCTTAGGGGTACCCTAATGAAGTTAATAACAATGTACCTACCTATATAGTTTAAGTTTAAAAAATTTGGCTCTCAAAAGAAATTTCAGTCATTGTACTGTTGATATTTGGCTCTGTTGACTACCGAGTTTGCCGACCACAGGTCTAAGGGCATCATTTACTAAGGTGCCCTCATACAGGTCACTCCAAGCCTCAGTGTCCCATCAGTGGGAGCGCAATGCTTACCTCGGGGGTGTTGTGCCAATTAAACGGGAAAAGCATGTGTGACATGCCAGCTCAGCGCCTGGAATGGAATTGGTGTTCTCTTATTCCGCCTCCATCCTCAACCCACCCTCCTTAACCTGTCCCCACTCACTTTATTCCCTTTTATTTGTCTATCTGTCTGGCTCGGTTGTTTTGTTTGTCAAGGGGGTGGGGTGTGTTGGAGCCAGACTGCCTGGCTTTGAAACCCAGCTCTCCCACTAGAGCTCTGTGACGGTGGGCCAGTTTCTCACCCTCTCTGTGCTGCATTCTCCTCACCTGCACATTGGGAGTCGTAGGGGTGCCTACCACAGAGGGCTGTTCTGAGAAACGGTTCATTCCACACATCTGGCTTAGAACTGTGCCTGTCACATCTTAAGGGCTTAATGACTGCTAGTGACTGTGAACTTCAAAGAGGGGGAGTGCTTTGCCCCATAGACCATCATCGGTTTGTTATGTTTTTAAATAGATCGTTCTGGTGGCTTACATTTTCGTTGTAGGAAACTCTGGTTTTATAGTACAGTTTTTCATAATTTCTGTACATGTGCAAAAAGATTCTGAAGTCGGGGATTTTCCAAGTATCAAAAGAAGCACTGCTTTGGTTTCACTTCTGAGTGGGGCTCCGCACTGTCTGAACGCACTGCCCAGAATTCCCCAGGGCAGACATGCTTCCCTCCGTGACCACAGCCATTCACTCACAACCAGGAAGCGCATGTTCTTCGGAGAAATGCATGGGCGAAGCAAAGACACGGACAGTGTCTGCATAAGGGAATGTGAGCTTACCTGAGAGGGCCTGTGGTCCTCTTGATGTGGTTTCCTGCCCCGGAATGGGCACCCCCTGCTAGGTGAGGGGTCCCGCAGGACCTCTTGGTTCACTTCGTGCAGTGGACTGTGTTTTTTCGGGTCACGGGAAGAATCTGATACCATCAATGCTTGCCTCTAAGAAGAAGGGGAAGAGGAGGGTCCTTTATTGGTAAAGGAAAAATTGTTTTTCCTTTCAAAAGCAAAGAGTCCCCGGTGCCTAGGCAGTGGCAGGTAGATGGAGTTTCAAACCCTTGCCAGTTTTTAATGCACAACTAGGATTCAGAAATTGTCCAGTGATTACATACTTTGCGGCACTACTAAGCCGCACAGCAGGCTCTTCTCTTTGCTTCCTGAGGCACCTCTGGTCTTGTATAGGAAAGGATGGCATAGGTCACAGTGTGAGTGTCCTCGTGCTACCACCTGGGTGGCTTAAGGAGTAGGAACGTACCGTCTCGCAGTTCTGGAGATGAAGGTGTTGGCAGGGTTGGTTCCTTCCGAGGGCCATGAGGGAGAGGCGGTTCCAGGCCCTGGCCTCTGGCACTTGGCTGGCAATCTCTGGCATCCCTCGCCCCAATCTCTGCTTTCATCTTCCGATGGCATTCTCCTTGTGCGTGTCAGTAGCCCAGTTTCCTTTCCATAAGGTCACCAGTGTCGTGTTGGATTAGGGTCCCACCCTGTTCATCTTTACTAATGACATCCACAAGGCTTCAGATTCCAAATACGGTCACACTGATAACTTCCACGTGTGGTCTCGAGGGTTACAGTCCGTTTTGTTACACAGCCACCAGCTCCCTTTTCCTGCCAACAATTGGGTGTTCAGCTTGCTTAGCAAGAGGCTCTACCTGTTGAAAACTAAGCTGTTTCTGGAAGCAGGGTCATTGGCAGCAGGATGTGGTATATGCTCATGAGCACATTTGCCCGGTGGGGGGGGGGGGGGGGGGGAGTATTACCTTCATGTGAAGCAACCCTGAGGAACCTTATTTCCAACTTTCTCCAGTCAGTCCTTCACCTCGTGGTTAGGTTACAGGCAGACCATCTCTGCTGTGTCCCCCGTATCATTCTTCTCTCCATTCCCCCCATTTCTCAGCTCATCTGAGATCATCAGAGTGCAGGGCCCAGGCCCTGACTCAGAGGCAGGCTGGCCTAGTGGTCGAGTGCTCCAGACTGGAGTCAGACCAGC